TCTCTCTTTCCTCTAAAATATATACATGCTCTCCATCTCTCTCTTCCTTTAGCATGTACTACCCTCGTCTATCTCTCTCTCTTCCCTTACCGTTATGAAATAGTAAGTATATATTTTAAGATATAGGTGAGATAGTTTATTATATTAAAATAGGTGAGAGTGAAATACGAAGACGTGGTATTTAGTTTTAGGAGGGAGAGAGATTTTGGGAGAGGAAATAGTAAGTAGGAATATTATGATATGCATTAGAGATTGTAGAATATTAGGGTGGGTGGGAGAGAGAAATAGGAAATCTAGGAGAGAGAAATAGGAAATCTAGGAGAGATTTTGATGGAGGATGGGGGAGGGGGAGAGAGACTTTTAGTGGGGAAAAATAAAAGGGAAACCTTTTTATGTTTCTCCTACAACATAGAAATTCTATCCTCCCCTTACCATCCAGCCGTCTATTTTCTATCAAGAGAGTCACTTACTGTTTGATCTTAGATCCGACGTCTCAAAGTATTTTACTTTTAGCTTTTTTAATACAATTTTTCTGAATATAAAATGGGTAAATGCCATTTTCTCATTGCGGCGCACCTATAAAAAAATATTAACAATAATTTTTTGATAAAATATAGTGACCAAATACCCCTTGAATCTTTCAAGGGTATTTTGGTCATTTTATTTTATTAAAAATATGTTTTTTATATTTCTTGTTAGTGTGAGTTTAATAGAGGAATGAATGTCCAAAATTTGGTGTCAAAATAATTTATAGAAAAAAATAAAAATTAAATAGTGTACAGACGTGATATTGTGATTGGGGCAATCTTAAGCCTACATTAAAAAATAGACGGTGAGATAAGGGGGAGGATAGAACTTTTATATTGTAGAAGGAACATAGAACATTGTCCCAAAATAAAAATGCATCTCTCTCTTTCTCTCTCTCTCATATTTTTGAGATGTATTTTCTCTCTCTTCCCTTAAAGAGGCTAAAATATATGTATACTCTCTCTCTTCCCTTGGAGAGGCTAAAATACACATGTACTCTCTCTCTCTTCCCTTAGCACGTACTATACTCGTCTCTATATCTCCCTTTGTGTCTCTCTTTTCCGTTAGAGTTAGGAATAGTAAATTTAGGAGATTGCTTTCTCTCTTTCTCTTTCCCAATTCTTAGCACCTAGTAATCTCTATTCTATTTCTCTCTCTTCCCTTAGAGTTAGGAATGTGTCCTAGCACCTCTATAGAAATAAGGTCTCTTCTTATTTTCGTGACACGTGTGTACCCCTTAACTCTCACTTAATAATATAGTATAGATATGACCAAGGTACATTGGTAATTTTTTATGGTAATGAGAAGAGTACAGATATTTTCTCTAGTTGAACATAAATTAATTAATGTAAAAATTATATACAGACACTAAAAATGAAGGGAAACTATGAAAATATCCTTATTTCTTAAAAATAATACAGAAGGTCAGTCCCCGATGAATTTTTTTATTTTTCTAGTTTGCCTCTTGGTCCAATGTTGCCAACATCACACCTTTTTTTTTTATTATTCAAATGTAAGGTTGTGTCTAGGATAGTTAAATTATCGGACTGCCCTAAAATGGGCAGTCTAATATTGTATACATCGAACCAGTCTGGAAGTTCCCAATCTATTATGCGGTCCAAGGTTTGGGACCTTGGACTGGTGTTAAAATAGCTTAAGGTCTCGGAGTTTTGGGACCTTGGATTGGTGTCATTGTGGCATAAGACCTAAGTTCCAATATGTCCGATAATTTGGACATCGTACTGGTCCAAAGTGACCAAAACCACAGGACATAATTCCTATGTTTAAGAAAACAAAAAAAATAAAATAAAATAAAATAAAACCAGTCCAATATTGGCAAACATCAAACTAAAGGCCAAACTGGGAAAATAAAACAAAACACAAGAGGATCTCCCCTCCATGTAATTTTTGGGAAAATATATATATCATTATGTATTCTCTATTTGTTTTTAAGAGGCTTGTTTCATGAGTCCGGGGACCCATTTCTACACTTGCATCCCCCGAGGTATAAAACATCCATTTTAAAGACGAACGCAAAGGGGGTCCATCTAAAAATAGTTGAAACCAATGTTTTAAAAAACGTCGAGTCGAACCGGACTCGCCCTGTTCGACTCGGGAATCGGCACAGTCCATGCCGGTTCTGGTATTTTACACGGAATTGCCCGATTCCAGAAAGAACGGGGCGATTCTGTATAGTGAATCGCCGATTCACTATACCGAATCGGTAAGTCTCGTGAAGAACACAGGCTGCACAGTGTTTTTCACGGGTTTCTTCAAATTTTGTCTTTTTTTTATCATTTTTCTTATTCTTTTTTCCATGTGATTGAATATTCAGGCTTTATGCAGCTTTTTTCAGCCTTTTCATGCATTGAATGGTGGAAAAATTTCAATTTTTTTGATCATGAAAGTTGCGGGTTTAGGGTTGCCGCTTTTCGTTTTGTTTCATGCCAAATAGGGCATGAGTCTGAGAAAAGTTTGAGGCATATTGATCGTAAATGTGTTCATTAGAAATTTCTGTTACGAATTTGTGATTATCTTTGAGAAAAACAGATTAATTTGGAGATTGAAGCCACGGGTTCACAAAACCAGGTAAGAACTTTGCTTCTTCTTTTTTCCCTCCATTTGATCAATTTCAGTCCATATTTTAAAAATAATCAATTAAATTTATAGGGTTTTAAATCTTTATTGTGTCTTTTATCATTACCATATTCAATTTTATTTAATTTACTCAATTATAGCCTGAGTTTTTAGAAGAACGCAGTGATGTCTATGAAAAAAAAAATTCTGCTGTTTTTTTTTTGTTTTCCGCCTTTCGATCTATTGTTCACGATATATTACAAATAATGTGTTAGATTTCTAGGGTTTTAAATCGTTATAGTCTTGTTTATAATCAGAAGTATTCAATTTGATCTGATTTATTCAATTTGAGCTGATTTATTCAATTTGAGCTTCATTTTTAGATTCAATGACTGTTGTCTGTGAAAAATTACGTGTTTTTTTTTTTTTGCTCAATTTAATCGATTTGATTTAATTTATTGATGATAATGTGTTCATAATTTAGGGTTTTGATTCCTTATAGTGTTGTTTATGAAAACATGTACTCAATTGGATGAAATTTATTCATGTGGAGGTGGACTTTTGAGTTGAAATGGCTGATGAAAGGTGGCTCTGTGAACAACAGATTTTTTTATTTTTTTATTTTTATCTTTTGTAATCCATGATCGAATTTTTTGAAAATTTGTGATTTTTCGAAAAGATGTGAAAATCGTGACACGGTTTTGATTATCATGAGGAATTAAACCATATTTTTAATTTTTATTGTTTGAGTTTGCTGTACTTTTTTTTTTTTTATCTATGATCGAATTTTTTGAAAAATGATGATTTTCCTAAAGATGTAAAAATCGTGACCACGTTTTGATTATTATGAGGTATTAAACCATATTTTTAATTTTTATTGTTAAAGTTTTTGTTGAAAAATTGTATGTTGATAGATTATTTATGCAAAAAAATGCATGTTATTATATTTTTAATACGAAACCGTACTTTTTAAATTTGTTGTTAATGAATTTTTTGAGTTGGAATGATTGATGTTAGGTGGCTCTGTGAAGAATTGTTTTTTTTTTATTTTATTTTAATACATGATCGATTTTTTTTTTGAAAAATCATGATTTTCCGAAAAGATGTAAAAATAGTGACCAGGTTTTGATTATCATGAGGTATTAAATCATATTTTTAATTTTTATTGTTAAAGTTTTTGTTGAAAAAATTGTATGTTGATAGATTATTTACGCAAAAAAATGCATGTTATTATATTTTTAATGCAAAACAGTATTTTTTTAATTTGTTGTTAATGCATTTTTGAGTTGGAATGACTGATGTTAGGTGGTTTTGTGAAGAATTGTTTTTATTTTTGTTTTTTTTTAGTATATGATTAATTTTTTTGAAAAATTGTGATTTTTCGAAAAGATGTGAAAATAGTGAACAGGTTTTGATTATCATGAGGTATTAAACCATATTTTAATTTTTATTGTTAAAGTTTTTGTTGAAAAAATTGCATGTTGATAGAACTTATTCCATGATAATTCTATGTTTATCCTTTTGTGTGATGTAAATTAAATGGTAAATAGTAGTTCATGAGGGAAAGAACATATCAATATTCGTATATTCATATAAAGAAATGAAAATTCTTAATGGAGTACTCTCATTTCTTATTGAATTCCTAAAAAACAATATTTATAATGAATTTTAATAATTTTTTTGGATTTTTTTAAAGCTTTAATCTGACCGATTCAGCCGATTCCCGATCCGGATCGCCGATTCGTCGATCCGGATCGGTTTTTGAGGTGCCCAATCCGGTCACCGATCCGCTTTTTAAACCATTGGTTGAAACTGATTTCCAAAAGTTTTCATTATAAAATTATTATCTTAATTTTTAAAATTTATTAATTTTTTCATATTCATGACCTCCACGTCCGAGACTATATATCCTTAAAAATTGGGTTCCACCATGTCAACAGTAAATTTCTAAGAGGAACTCATTTCTACGAGGACTCATAGAAACCGTGTCCTTGTTTTCATATCCGTGTGTAATTATCCTTAATTAAATTAGTCGAACTATCTGGGAGCCATACCTTAGAGAATGGTGAATAAGGACTGAATGTAATTCTTAGTCGGAGCCATACCTTACAGAATAGGGAATAAGGATTGAAATTAATTCTTATTCCTGAGTGATAATAAATAGACCATCAAACAAAGATATGAAAGCAGCAGCACTACCTCTTGCCTCCCATGGCCCCAATTGGCTCAGAATCATCCCCAATAATCGAACGAACCTCATGCACTCACCACAACTCCATTAACGACCCATCAAATCAAACCAAAAACAAGAATTGTATGAAAAAAAAAAACATAATTCCCTTTCCTAACTATAAATGACCCCTGATCCCTTTTTCCACACCCTCGCTCGCCCCAATTCAAACAGTACCAAAGGGGGGCAGAGAGAGAGAGAGGAATGGGGTTCAATCTCTTTCATGGCAGTAGTGATGTAAAAGCCTAAAAACAAAACTTAGTTTCAAGGGTTTCAGTCCAACAGTCCCAACTTAGAACCCCCCACACTCACAAGAGAGAGAGAGAGGGAGATGATAGGGTTGAGGGATGTCTACCTGGTGCTCTCAGCCATGGTGCCACTCTACATACCTCTAGGCCTTGGCTACGGCTCGGTGCGGTGGTGGGGTGTCTTAAACCCCGAGCACTGCAATGGCATAAACCGAGTCGTCGCCCTCTTCACCCTCCCTCTGTTCACCTTCAATTTCACTGCAAGCATTGACCCCTTCACCATGAATTTTCGATTCTTAGGAGCGGATGCCCTCTCAAAAGTCTTCGTAGTTGCCGCAGTCGCACTTTGGGCTAAAACTCGAGGGACATGCTGTAAAGGCCCAGCTTGCTCTTGGGCTATTACAGGTTTCTCCCTCTCCACCCTAACAAACACACTTGTGGTTGGTGTCCCTCTATTGAAAGCAATGTATGGTGGTATTGCTCAAGATCTAGTGGTTCAAGTTTCAGTTATTCAGGCAATTGTGTGGCTGAGTATTCTATTGTTTGTGCTCGAGTGCCGATCGTCGTGTATCAATGGTGGCGTGGTGGTGGCCTCTGAGACTGTAGGAAATGAAGGTAGCCATGTGGCTGTGGATGTTGCAGGGACTGACACTGGGGTGAAGGTTGTACAAGTGCATAAGAGGCCTTCTCTTGGATCCTTGATGAAGGTGGTGTGGAGGAAGCTTGCTCTAAATCCTAATTCTTATGCTAGTATTGTTGGCGTTATATGGGCTTTCATTTCTTCAAGGTATTAGCTGTAAGAAGCCTATATTTCTTGAGATTATTACTTTTTTTGTTCTCTAATTATCTCAAAAAAAAAAAAAAAATTCAAAATGGCTAGTAATCTAGGAGTTTCTTTTTCAATGAATATGACAATAAGGGCACTTTTGGTTTACAATTATGAAATCGGATGGTTGGGGATATGTCATTGATTGGCACAATATTCAAAATAAAATCTCTCGAATGTTACAACACACTTCAATATAATAAATATCATATCAGATGGCTAAAAAAAAATATGACCTCCTTGTATTAAAAATATATGATCTTATGTATACAATCTCGTTACTTATAGTATGGGGATATCATCCTATCTTTTCATTAAAATGAGGCAGTACTCATAATATTTATGAAAATACCAACTGATGGTGTATGCAAATTTGGAGAACAGGTGGCATTTCTCAATGCCATTGTTGATGGAGAACTCAGTGAGCATGATGGCCAAAGCTGGATCAGGCATGGCCATGTTCAGCATGGGTAAGAAGAGTTCTTTATGATTTTATCTAGCTGCTTTTGAATTATTGGTTTACTATTACTTATTATCATTATCCAAACCTTATTCCAAATATTTGGGATCGGCTATATAAATTTTGTTTTATAGGTTCAGGATTCATGAAAAGATATGCAAAGTTTTACGTTAACTGTCCTACCTAATACAACCTTCCTCCTTTATCCGACTTGGGACCAGCGTCGAGTTATTGATTTACTATTACTATTACTCATGAATAACATTGGAGATTATTTAAAGAGGCATTGAGTTTTGTGTAATGTAAAACATACGTGGGTAGGTTTGTTTATGGCATCACAAGAGAAGCTGATAGGGTGCGGGCCGAGCCTTACGGTGTTGAGTATGGTGTTGAGGTTCTTGGCGGGCCCAGCAGCCATGGCCGTTGCCTCCATCGCCGTCGGATTGCATGGAGACGTCCTCCATATAGCCATCATTCAAGTAATGCATCTCTCTCTCCAAGATATCTCACTCCAACTCTATATATATATATAAAAGACATCTCTCTCCGTCTGTGGCTGAGTAAATGGTAATCAATTATATTTAGGGTGATTCACATGCGGACCTTGAAATTTTTCTAAAAATACAAAATTTTCTATTTATAAGTGGAAATTACAAAAAAAGCCGTTGAACCTCATGTTTTTTAATTTTTCAAAACTGCCCCTCAGTCCAAGGACATCCTCGGACCGAATTTTATTTTAGTTTTTTAATTTTTTTTTTTTAGTAGCCATTGCTCTACTAATGAAAAAACTAAAAAAAATGATTAAAATTTGGACCGAGGATTCCATCCTCAAATCGAGGAGCAATTTGGAGAAAAAGAAAAGAAAAAAAGAAGGTTGACTGGCCTTCTTTGAAATTTCTAACAATAAATGGAGCATTTCGTATTTTACAAAAACATTTAGGGTCTGTATGTAAATCGTTCTATTTATTTTTTGATCAATATATGTAGAGACGCTAAGAGAATAGGAAAATATCAAATGAGCCAATTTTAAAAAAAAATATTTTGAAAGTCCTTTTTTTTCTTTTTCCTTTTTCCTTCAGTTTGCACCTCAATCCGATGTGATACATATGGAGTGTTTTTAACTTTTCTATTTTATTTTTTTCCATCTTTGACACCCATCCCAGGTCCAAAACCTGGGACCATTTGGTCTAATCACATAAACACTGTATGAGGTCCAGGGCTTCAGACTTCTCCATTTGTGGCCTTAGGCCACATTGACACCGGTTCGAGGTCCCAAACCTCGAACTGCTCTATTTGTGGCCTTAAGCCACATCAATAATAGATTGAGGTCTCAAACCTCGTACTGTTTTGTCGTTGGCCTTAGGCAACAGTGATGCAATGGGCAAAAACAAAAAAAACCACAGGGGGGCCAACCTTCAGCGCAATTTTCAAGAAAAAAATGACTTTCCGTATTTTCCTATGGATTTAGTGTCCTTAAATAAATTAATCTTATTTGGTTTTTAAGTTTTGGATTGGGTCCTGTGTTGCATGTAGGAACAGTCCATGCAACGTATTACTCCCCTTGGTGCTTCATACTCTTTTCAGGAGTTAAATGAGAGAGAGAGAGAGAGTCTCCATTATATGTTTGATAAAATAAGTACATTGTGGTGTTGCAGGCCGCTTTGCCACAGTCCATAACCTCATTCATCTATGCAAGAGAATATGGTCTCCATGCAGAAGTTCTCAGTACAGCGTACGCCCCTCTCTCTCTCTCTCTCCTCTCTTTCTCTCTCTCTAGATCAAAGGTTAATATGAAGTTAATATGTTGATTTTATGGTTAATATGAAGTTAATATGTTGATTTTATGGTTAATATGAAGTTAATATGCTGATTTTATATCTATATCAAAGGTTAATATGAAGTTAATATGTTGATTTTACATCTAGATCAAAGGTTAATATGAAGTCAATATGTTGATTTTACATCTAGATCAAAGGTTAATATGAAGTTAATATGTTGATTCTATGGTTAATATGAAGTTAATATGTTGATTTTACAGGGTTATATTTGGGATGCTAGTTTCCCTTCCGGTGCTGATCGCATACTACGTTGTCCTCGAGCTTTTGAGATGATTATGGGGAAAAGCAACGAGTCTTATTCTCTAATGCAAAGGCAATTATTAGGAAATTCTTCTGAAATTTTAATTATTCCTTTCCCCTAGGTGTTTAAGAGACTTCTCCAAATTTGTATGACCTTTTGAGATTTTAATTATACTTTTCCCCCAAGTGTTTAAGAGACTCCTCCTAATTTGTATAACCTTTAGATTGTGCGTACAAATCTTGCAATTTTTCTTGCAATTTATTAAGGGAAGAAAGAAAGAAAGAAAAAAGATTGTTATGGGCCTTTTCCCTCTACATCAGCACTCATCGTTTCAACGAACGTTGATGAGGGGACCGGTGTTTTGGCAGCCATTGGAGGATATGCTTTTCGCTCTGTTTTTGGGAAAATTAAGTCCCAAATTTATTGCCAAATAAATCCTCGGATTCACCATCACAATTTATTAGTCGCGATGCCCACACTCCACATTTGGCACATAAAAATTACATTTCCAACCCTGTTTAATCTATAAAATTCAATTTAGTCCAAACCAAATAAATCGCACTTCTTTCTCTTTCTACCCATTTGAGTCTTATGGATTGAACAAAGTTAGAATCGCAATTTACGCGTATCAAGAAGAGAAGAGAAGTTTATTACTTGCACCAAATTGTACCTCATTTTAACCTGAATTTTCGAACGTGACGACCAATTTTCAAATGTGATGACCTACGTGCCGGTCTAACATAACATTTCTTCTTTTTTTTTTAATTGTTCTCTAACTTTATTAAAAGATAACTATAAAGAAATTATATCATCAGAGACAATTGCCTCCGCTACAACAACACCCCTTTCAGTATTGAGTCTACAGATCCATTGGCTTCCCTATATACATGCATAAAGGAGAACGAAATGATCTAGATAAGTCTAAAACCTGTAGTAATAAAGACCTGAAATCCCAAGACATCTTATGCTCGCCTTTGCACCATTTAATTACATTCAAGGAGCAATAATAAAGACCTGAACTCCCAAAGCATCTTATGCTCGCCTTTGCATCATTTAATTACATTCAAGGAATTGCCTTCAACCACAAAGTAAGATCCCAAATTTCTAGTCACAAATTGCAGGAGTTGTTTTCTCCCCAAGTGGACCAGCATATGCTTCCCAATTCCTCACAACTCCTCCATACCCAGCCAACCCCGGATTTTCCAAAGAACTACCGTCAAAGTTGAGTTTGAAAACTCCCACTAATGGCGGAACCCATCGACCTTTAGGTCTAAATTTGATAAAACCCATATGAAACACATTCGGTAAATTCATCCTCACATCTACTTCTGAAATATCTTACCCAACTTTAGTAACAGATAACCACATCCAGAGGTAGTGCACTATCTTATCCATGATCCTATCAAAAGGAAAACCTATCACATCAAAGGTCTGTTATTTCTTTCTTTCCACATCTCCCACATAATCACACCTCTAGCAATTTGCCAAATCACATTTCCTGTTTGCGGCAAGAAAAAAAGAGAAAGGATTGAAATTATCCCAAAATCATCGTGAGGAAACACCATCCTTATCCCGACCTGAGAGAAAAACCAGCATTAGATTCCATAACTGAAAGGACAATGAAGTAACAAGTAAGCACCTGTTTCACAAACATCTTTATATAATAGGCAAATATTAAGCAAAATCTTCCCTATCTTCATCAAATTATCAACCTCAACAACTTATTTTGTACCGCTAGCCACACAAAAGCTTGAACTTTGTGCGGTAATGGCCACTTCCAAAGTTTAGCAACTTCAAGCATCGACCATCTCCATCGATCATGGAAAAGTAAGCGATACATAGATTTGACCGAAAAAATTCCATCTTTGTCAACCTCCCAACTACCTCGTGAATTGTTTCTTGAGGGATATAACATTGTTCAACATCTCCAAAAGAGAAGAAATCTGAGAAAAGAACTCATCTGATATCCTATTATAAGGAAGGTTTAGATTCCAAACCACCTAATTTCCCCTAATCTCAAACATATCTACAACCGAAGCATTGGAGTTATCCATCCTTTGCAAAATTATCAAGCAAAACATATTTCAAGGGTGATGTGCCTAGCCATTTATGATGCCAAAAGTATATATGTTGCCATTAGCCAAATTCCAACTAATATCCCGATGAATTAGAGGTTTGCACAGACTAATCGATCTCCAAAGCCAATCCACATTCCATATCTATCAATTCTATACTTAGCAGCAATAACTAGATATTGTAACTGATCAGTTAAATGCAAACTTCTCTACCACCATTTGCATAGTAAAGCTTGGTTAACCAGTTTGATTTTCCTTAACCCCAATCCACCCTCACTTTTCGGTGTGCACACCCTATCCCATTTTAGGAGGGGGACTTTTCTCGATACATCAATTGAGCCCACAAAAAATTCCTCATCATTCCTTCTATTTTCCTAGCTACCGATGAAGGAATCTACAGAATATGCATTTGATATATAGGTAAGTTCAACAGACACGCTCTCACCAAGGTGATCCTACTTCCTAGAGATAAGTATTTATATTTTCAAAGATCCAACTTAAATTGAATCCTATGAATTACTTTATCCCAAATAGCCAACAGAAGCCTACCATCAGAGATCGGCATTCTGAGATGTGTGATTGAAAGTGATCCACCTTACATCCCAAAGTCTCAGCAAGCTCAAGGACCACATAATCATCACAATTGATCCCAATCACTGAGATTTTATTAAAGTTAACCTTGAGCCCCAAAGCCACCTCACAATATCACAAAAAATTTGCTATATTACTAACTTGGTTAACCTTAGCCCCACAAAAAATCAGGGTATCATCAGGATATTGTAAGTGAGTAATTCACGACCCCTTATTCGGCATTTGAAACCCTAAAAAATGACAATTGCTTTCTACATTCCCCACAAGAAGACTAAAACACTCTGCATAAATAGTAAATAAAAAAAGAGACAGAGGACCACCTTGTCGTAAACCCCGTGAAGCACTAAAGAATCCCCATAGGCTCCCCTTGTAAAGAATGGTAAAGTGCGTAGAGTACAAGCAGCCATATATCCAATTTCTTTACTTCTCTCCAAAGCCCATATTTTTCATGATTTCCAACAAAATTTCCTATTCAACCCTATCTTAAGCCTTTTCCATAACAAGCTTGATCACTACCCCCTGACTAACACTCAAAATTCTTGAGTGGATGCACTCCTGAGCAACTAATACAATGTCTGTAATCAGACGATCTTTGATAAAAGCATATTAGGCTCCTGAGATAATCAATGGTAACACAACCTTCAGTCTTTTAGCCAACACCTTGGCCACAATTTTGTAAAAACTCGTAAGAAAGCTAATGGGACTGATGTCCCCCAGACTAGCTATAATGGACTTCTGAGGAATCAATGTAATAAAGGTAGAATTAACCCCTCTAAATAATTTACCTCTTCTAAAAAAAACCCCTAACTATTTCCAATAACTCTATGCAAATCAAATCCCAAAATTTTTTGGAAAAAGGTTAGAGGAAATCTGAACTTTAGAAATCAAGAGAGCCAAAAGCAATGGTATTCTTTCAAGTGCTTTTGATAATCTCAACCACTTCCTTATCTTGTAGACATCCAATTTCAAACCTAAAAGGTTTTAATCCCTCTAAGACATTTTTAAAGTATAACATTATAGGAGTATGGTCAAAGGATAAACGGGATAAGGCTTTAACCGTAACAAGGGGAAAGGATTCCAACCAATCCCCAGATACCATAAATCTATCAAGTTTGGACATTGACATATTAGAGTTAATTACATTGGTTCAGATAAAAACAATACCTGAAATAGGAAGATCGATCAAAGACTGGGTCTCGACAAACCTGTTAAACAAGGTCATAGCTAAGGTAGTAGGCCCTCCATAACTACTCTCATCTGGTCATCGAATAAAATTGAAATCACCCCCTAAACAAATAGGGTGATTAAAATTAAGAAACAAATCTGACATAAATCATTAATTAATACTTCTTTAAGAGCAAACGATTAAGGCCCATAAACATTCATCAAGCCCCATTGACATCCTAGAGTGGACCACACAAAACCAATAACCAAAAAGTTATCCTTGATCATCGAAAGAAAAGACTGTAAAAATGTCAGATCCCTCAAGATCCCCAGCCCCCCAAAAGCCCCCACAAAGTCTACTGCCCCAGAGCCCCAAACTTCCCTCACCCCTAAAAGATTGGGGCTTGGAAGTTTGATCTCCTGCAAAATGAGCACTGGCGGCTTAAACTTACTAACCAAAAAAATGATGTCTTTCTTACATCTGGGGTCACCCAAACCACCCCTTACATTTCAAGAGATGTAGAGGAAGAGGAACGTGGACCATCCCTCCTAGTTCCAAAGTAGACTTCCTCTAACATTATAACTTCCTCCATCGCCTCATCGATGGCATCCTCCATAGCAAACGACTCTGAAGACACAGAAGTTCCACTATCGATTTCCATAACAGTATCCTTCAAAATAACAAGTCCTTTAACAACACCACCACTTGAAAGAACACCACGAGCCATAAGTCTTGTTGAATACCTTGTTGCCTTGACTGAGCCTTTACCTGTCACCGATTTTCCTCCTTTGTTCGGTGTCTTCTTGTCTAAAGTGAACTTGTTTACGCTCTGATCTGCACCCATCTTGGTAAGAGATCTACACAAATCTTAGCAAAATTTTTGTTAATTTTGTGAAAAATAGAGAGAGTGGGGTTGCTCAAATTATGGGCCCAAGAATGACATAGATTCATTTATATCTGATCTTTTCTTGAGTCCACTGGCAATGTTAGCTTCCAGATCTGTGTAATTTGCTTTAAAAACTCTTTGAAAAATTTTATAAATAAATAAATAGAACAAAATTAGATGAGAAAATTAACTAAATTTGAAGAAGGAAAGGGGACTTACCTCTGGGGTTGCGGAACCTGGAGTTTCGGGCATGGATCAGGCCGCACTTCTGATTTACGCCATCATCTCCTTTTAGATGCCTATGCTTGCTGGAATCAATAGATCTAAAGAATTTTTACCTAGATCTAAGGTTCCTGAGGCCAGGGGAAAAGCTCAGAATTTTTTGTAATGTCTACCTAGGTTTTTCTGAGGGTTTAAGAGAGTTTTCCTTAGTTTTCTAAGGTTTTTGGAGGCTTCTAAGCTTAAATATGAATTTTTTGATTTACTGGGATTTTTGGAGATTTTTTGGGATGTTTCCTAATTTGTTTGGAATTTTCTAAGGAGTTTAC